AAAAGTTGAAATATGCTTTACTATTTTTACCAGCGACTTGCAGAGATTTCCCTTCCGCTGGGAAGCGCTGGAACAGCTGCACAAATGGCCGAGGTCTCGGTGTGGATTTAGTGATTGATTCTGCATGTGTTATGTATCCTGCAGTGACAGGTCCAAGCTGCATCATCTTCAATTTCTTTCTTGGCAGCTCCTGAGGAAACAGGGAGTAACATCTTGGAGCTGCTGTCAGAGCGCCGGCGGGACCGTCACGATGCGGCGCTGACCTCGATGCGTCAGGAACTTGCCAGTATTGCCAAGGTAGGGCTGGGTTTGCAATCCAGAGAGTCTGCAGTGCTTATACCAAGCTCAGGGCCTAATATTCAAATATCAGACTGCCTTCCTTACCCTTTTTAGGAAATGGAACCCTTTGTTTTGGAACCTGGAAAATCCCTCCTGGCAAAACTGATAGAATCTGATAGAAAAATTGAACTTCTGTTTAAAAAGATTGAGCTTGACACTGCTCTGGAAGGTCTCTCAATGGAAGTGAGTCAGCTCATGCCACTGCCTCACCTCAGGTTCTCTGTGTCTGGTCTGTGTAACAGCTTCTTGTGCCTTCCTGTAGTTTCCAGATACAAAAGCTTGCTTGGTTTTGGGGCTTGGTTTGGTATGGTTTCTCATTTTTTGACATCTGTTTTCATTGAGATTGTGAGTAAATCCTTCTTGCAGGGTTTGGAAGAGCTGTGGAACATCATCCATCAGGAATCCTTGACCAGGAAGAATTGGATTAGGGAAATGGATGAGTCCTTGCAAAAGGCTGAATGGCATCGAGCTGATAAAGTGAGCTGGGGCTTTAGTAACTACAGAGATTTGAGAAGAAGTTGGTTTGATTTCTAAACTCAGACTGCAGCTTGTCTGCAGAGCACTCAGTTATCACAAATATTATAATCAGTCGGGTAGCAACAAATTAAGATGTTGTAGTTACTATTTTTATGAATTACTTTGAAAAAATCAATATTTAAGATATTTAAGATGAATATTTTACTATTCACATCCTTGTCTATCAGCCAACTTAATTTCTTTTAATGGAAAAAAGCCCTGTCTTGTTCATATCACTGCTTAACTTAGGAAACTGACATTTGAGTTACATAGCTTTTTATTTTTCTGTTTATTCTTCTATTGCACAGATAACAGATGTACTGAGGAAATACACTGTGAAACTGGAGGAAATTTCCTTCTTCTTGTCAGCTGATGTTTACAGGTTCATGAATAATGAGGCCATGGTAAATCTTTCATATTGAGAGTCTGTTTGACCTGCAAGATGATAATATTCTGAACGTTCCCAGAATGTCTTTTGTTTCCAACTGAAATTCATTATTTGTCCCTATCAGTCCCTGCAATATAGGAGAGTTTTCTCTCATACAGGAGGCTTTTGCCAGATATTCTTTATAATTTGTCTCCTTTTTCCCTCATTTTACACAGAACTTCCAATATTAATTTTTGGCGTGTTATTTGGTGCTTTTATGAATGTATTTTTTTTAATGCACAGATGATTAACAGAGCCCTGCTGGCTAATCAGAGGGCAGTTGCCCAGCTCTTCTCTAACCTAATGAAGTCAGAGCTGCAGTGGGAATTAACACATCGATTTAATTGGGAAGATAAAGTCAAGGACTGGAAACTCATCCAAAAGAACCGTGTAGTTCACAGTTTCAGGTTAGAAATTTTACTGGAGAAGAGAAGGCCCCAGGGAGACCTCATAGCAACCTTCCAGTGCCTGAAGGGGCTCCAGGAAAGCTGGGGAGGGGCTTTTAACAAGGGCTTGTAGTGGACAAGGGGGAATGGATTAAAACTGGAAGAGGGGAGATTTAGGTGAGACATGAGGAGGAAATTCTTCAGTGTGAGGGTGGTGAGAGCCTGGCCCAGGTTGCCTAGGGAAGCTGTGGCTGCCCCATCCCTGGCAGTGTTGAAGGGCAGGTTGGATGGAGCTTGGAGCAACCTGGGCTGGTGGGAGGTGTCCCTGCCCATGCAGGGGGGTTGGATCTAGATGATCCCTTCCAACCCATTCCGTGTTTTTTGAGTAAGACTAACACAAAGTGACTAGTGTGCACTTGTGTTTTCTACAAACAGTGATATTTACTGATTTTTTCCATTATACAACTAAAAAGCCAAAAGAACTTAGCATTCTTTTTTTTTTATCTGGTATGTGCAAAACTTTTTGCATTTGAATTTCAAATGTGACAGTTTCCCAGATATTTACTTCAGTGTGTTTTTCCATCCTACAGAGAATTTATGGCAAATGAAGACATACAGAATCCCCCAGCTTTGAAAACAGAAATGGACAATATGATAACAGATCAGTTTTTACTTAGTGGAAGGAGAATGGAGCTTTTGCAGCACCTTGGGTATGAGAAAAGAGGGAAGAAGAACAAAGGAAACTGGAATTCTTTCTAGAGTTGATGAGGGACTTGACTACAAAATGCACTCTGCTCCCTTGCAGTGTGCAATTGTGCAGTGCAGCAGTAAGACAGG